TTCAACGATTTGACGTTTGTCCCCAGAATAATAACTAGTAATTATTCTGGGGTTTATCGATAATCATAGGGTGAGATTACAGAACGTCTGCAACTTTGCAGATCTGCGCAAATATGACGGACTTACAAATGCAAGTATTCCAAAAAATATCTGCAAATTCGCAATATTTATTGTGGTTTATTACCCCCAACAACACTAAACCCAAATTTGGAATACGAAAACTTGATACTTGCATGTGTAAGTCAGTCATATTTGCAGATTTTCATAGTTGCCGCCATATTTGCAGATCTAAAGTTGCAGACGTTCTGTAATCTCACCCTATAATCGATAAATAACACTACTACTAGGTTATGCAACTAACAATGCAGATAGGAGTAACATCAGTTGCATAGAGAGAATTTTATTCATATTAAGAAGCAAGAAGTGTCCCGTGCCATAAACCTAAGTTAATTCATATATATTTTTTTAAATAATTGAAATACCTACTTGTGTTCATTCAAATAATGTAAATTATAAAAAAGCGACATTTTTTCATAATTTTTTATCCAAAATACAATATTAAATCGTTATAGGCGTCTTTCCAATTTTTAAACAGTACTATATGGAAGAATTCGGAAAAGCAAGGTAGGTACCTATTCTAAAAATAAAAAAAAACTAATATTTAAATAAAAGAAGTTAAGGTAGCTCCTTCCGGTCAACTCGGAAGTAAGTACATGCAGGTATAGCAACAAAAAAGTCGCATTAGATATAGGTACATTACGCGTCATTAGGTACCTATTGCAACCTGCAAAGTTTTCAAGTTTTAAATTAAGTACCTATCACCTCTTTTTAAACCAGAAAAACCAAGATCGTCCTAGTTTACAAAATATTATTTAAAACGAATTCAAATGCAAGCTTCGTAGACATTATATATTTTGTTGTTTAAAAAAGCGCAATTTGATCTCTATTTTTTGATTCCGATAAAAAAGGGTCATCGAGATTGATTTTGCAAAATGAGAACTAATGATTTTCGTTTAAAAATAACTCTTTCGTAACTATATAATTAAATTTCAATTTTAATACGATTTTATGAAACCGTATAGTGCGCCATACGTGTAAGCATGCGCTGGCTATCATCATATCATCTGTTTCTCTGTTTCTGTTCATGAGTAAATAAATCATTAAATGCATTGTATCGGTTTTTAGATGGCTCTGTTGCCAGACTTACTTTAAAAACACTCTTCCTAAATATTTATGTAAGTACACTAAATTTTGATAAAGTTTCATGAAAATAGCTATATTTTTTTGATTTGAAAAAATGTTTTGGATCACTCGTGGTAATTTAAAGTGTAACATTTTGTTATTGGAAAAATTCACGTTTATTTTTAAAATGGAAGCAATATTTATTCTACTTCTAGAGAGACAGAGTCAGATTATTATGTAGATTTAAGCTATTGATATATTTTGGTAACCCTACATATACTGATGAGAGAACTGTATGATCATTCGTTTATGTGTGTGATAAAGCCACACAGAATCTACAGAAAATAGATATTCTTTGATTATGCATAGCACCAAGCGGTACTTAAACTTCCACCAACTTGAAAATCATATAGGTACTACACAACAAAATTAACCAAAAAGTATTGTTTTTTTATTAACACAAGAGTTCTATCCTTTTACTATATTGCAAATGTAATAAATGTTAAAATAAAATAAACACAAAGCCCTTCAGAAAACAACTACTTCCCCAACATGTAATGAATTATATCCAAAGGAAAGACAGCAGAGAAAGAAATTTAAGTTCAGCACACTACCTTTGATTTTGATTATTAAGAGAAACGAGATTCTTGGACTGGTTCCATCCTTAATAGGACTCATCAGCAAGAAGTTCTCCTTAGAAAGCAAAATCAAAGGAGTGTTGAAATTACATTTCTATCTCCACTCTTTCCTTTCGATATAATTCTATACCTGTTGCAGTATTAGGCAAAGGAGTAGTTATCTTCCTAAGAGAAATGTCGCTCGTATTTTGTGTGGCATATGGCTCTGTTATGGCTCTGTGTTTATTTATCTCATTTTTCCTCTAGGTTACATAAGTTTTTAAATAGGGTTCTACAAGCGACCTTTGATTTTGCTTTCAAATCGCAGATGGCGTTACCATTTTCACTATTTAACTACTTACTCTTTCGTAACCACCGTTATTGTATACTAGTGAATTTGACGCACTCCCACATAGCACACGGACGTCTTATGGACGTCTAAAAGACGTCCTTTAGGGACATAAAGGACGTCCTATTTTGGTACCGGGACGTCAATCGGACGTCCCATGGACGTCCTAATGTCCCGTTTCTGTCCATCTTAGGGACGTCCCTTAGGGACGTCCCTGGGACATCCCAAAAGGACGTCAAAGGGACCTTTGCGGGACGTCCTAGGGACGTAAATCAGACGTCCGAGGGACGATATTTGACCATAATCCATAAAGAGTAATAATAACAAAAATGTTAACAATAAAAGAGCTTTATTTAACAACTTTTATCCTAAAAAACCTAGCTAGAGTTAAAAGTTTTCAGTTTACAAAAAAAAACAGGAATGAATTAAATTTAACACACAGCGCTGGCAAGATGAAACCTTGGGTCCTACTTATAGCTTGTGTCGACAAAACTGAGTATTATAATTTTGTCCAAATTAGTTTTGTTCCAACTTTCCGCCATTAAGGTATTTTCTTTCCGCCAGCGGCTACCGACACATCACTTATTCTTACATCAACACAAAACACTCACTTCACTTTATAACCACTTTACCACCAGCATCAAAAAAATAACAAATAACACTTTATAACCTTCTTTTTTCTTCGTTAATCTAACTCACTTATTTAAGTTAATTATTGAATGCCGAAAATTGTAGCTATTGTTGTTCATTTGAAAATAAATGATAGGTTAGGTTTTCTGTCCTCATACTCTTGCAAAATCAAAACGTTGAATTTCAAGTTATCGATTCAAAGACCAACGATGCTAGTGCATAGAAAGTCCCATAGACGTCCCATTAATGTCCCGGACTCGGACCGAAAACTAAACGCTTTGTCGAAACGGGACCAAAATAGGACGTCCAGAGGACGTCCTTCTAAGGACGTCCTAGTGTTAACTGTAATCGGAAGTCCAGTGGACGTCCTATTTAGGTCCGGGACCAACCGGACCAACAAGGGACCAAATCAGGACGTCCCATGGACGTCCTGTGCTATCTGGGATTTGCTAATTAAATTATTAAAGATCAGAATTTAGAATTAATTTAGTTCTTGCTGATGAGTCCTGGGTCCCAATCGTAGACGAAGGATATGTCCCTTCACAATAAGGACGAAACCGGTCCAAGGATGACGTTATCCTTAGTCAAAAGTGTTGAAATTAAATTTATATATCTGATATCTAGACAACCTAGTCTAATTGTAGAGTGTGAGTACTTTCTCACAATTTGGCTTTGCTGCGCATGTAACTCGACTAAAATTATAAGGAATCATGTCAATGGTGAGAGCAGTGTTGCAAGATGCATGATAGTTATCGTATTTGTACGATATACTGAAAAAAATTGATTCCCAATTTTTCGGAATTTTTATTTTCCAATTTACGAGCTAGATTGAATTTCTGTTGCATACACATGTTTTTGTAATATATTATTACATACGTACAAAAATTAAAATATTTTTAATTACAGGGTGATTTACAAATGTATGACGGTAGTTTTTTTTTGTAAAATCTCACTAATTCTACTGTGACGTCAGGGAAGCATATTTTCAAAAAGTACTACTCAATATGGTATTTTGTCGACCAAATATTGCACAATACACATTTCTTATGTAGGGTGTTTTATAGCGAGACCCACAAAATAAATTTTTTTTTAAGGATTACTTCAAAACCCTGTACTTTAATTGGTTTTTGGGAAAAGTAATATAAAGCGGTAAAATATACTAGGTGGCTTATTTGTTGGAAGATATTTTATATTAATAAAAGTACAAAAACCACTAACACCCTAAAATTTCCCCGGTCAAATGTAATCATTTTCTCGGCATATAATAATTTTGACACTGTTTTAAGAGTTATAAATTTTAAATCCGATACTATGACCAGTTTTCTGAATAGCTAGATTGTCTCTATGTAGAATATGGGTGATTCCAATGAAATGGTAAAAAAAATATGTTTGTAATATCTAAATATATTAAGTACAGAAATTGTATAAATTATTGATGCCATATTATGCTCAAGGGATGATATATGTTTGATTATTCCCACTTGCGGTTGAGATCATTATTAGGTTTTATGGGTTTTATTCTAAGAAATAAGAAAACATGTCCATATTTTGTTTTAATTTGTCCCTATATTTAGCAGAAACATCTTTCCAGCGGTGTCTTATGGCTCTGGCAGTTCTATATACCGAACACAGTAGCTATGGATTTTATTTTACCTTCTTTTTTACGTCTTTGATAATATTTTCGTTTATTTTGGCTTGTTCAGAAAGTTCAGGGTTTTCATTTATTTTTTCTCGCATTCTTCGTTCAGTCGATCTCGTTTCTATTTGCACTTTTTTTTTCTGTTGTTTGATTATTAGCCATTTTGTTCTGTAAAAATAACAAAATTGCAGTTTTCTCAAATTGTACGCTTTAGGTATTCCAGTTACTTCTTACATTCAGAGAAAACGATGGCAGTAGTTCGAAGACCATACCATCAGACCATCTGATTTGTTTTTAAATTTGCATTACTCGTTCTATAATTTATTAATAGTAATTTACTTTCTGTTGATATTTACAATTCACAAATTTGTAAATATTTCACCAGTTATAGTACTGATCCACCCAGACGCAAAAATGGCGTGACATTTTAAAACACTTTCAAAGCCTGGAAGTTTAATTTAATGAAGTCTGGAGAAAATTCATAGTAAACGTGGCAACGCCGCACGATTTCCCTCCACTCTCATTTGAAACGTTTTCAAACATGACGCAGTCGCACTCGGCGACTTGCCCTTATTTGACAGGAAACTTGTTCTGTTCTAACTTCAATGTTTGTCTTCACGGTGTATTTATTATCGATGATCGTATCGGCGAGCGGTCAATGATTTAATACTCGGTAACACTATTAATTCACGAAACATGAATAAAAGTATGAACGGCGTGTTTTACAAATCGTAGTGTGGATGTTTTAAAAGCGATATTTAATGTATTCGTCGAAAAACAAATCAAAATTTAGTTAATAATATTAGTAGGTCATAAATGTGAATGTGTCACCCCGATGAATAGAAAGCATGTGAAAAGTGACATGGATTCAGGTCTGGGTAGTGATGAAGACCGTCGGAGTCGGACTAAAGAGCAGAAGCAGCTACACAATCAGCAACTTTTGAGTGGTTGTTTTATTGACGCTGCCAGTTTGTCCGATGACTCTGAGGTTGTCGAACAAAGACGAAACGATGAGAGACGACAGGGTGCACTACTCTTCCAAACTTCATTACCCCATTTTTCTATGGTGCAAATTCCCCACGAAGATCATCATTTCTCTTATTCGTCTAATAATTTAGTCTCTCAATTTCCCGAAACTAGCACCCCTTTCAATTCCATAGTGCAGCTGGATTCTAACGAAACAGAAACAGCTAGAAATAAATCACCTCTAGGTTTTTACGTAGACTTAAGCGATGTCCCCGAAACGTCTTCATCCCCACCGTCTAATTCTGCCAAGAAAAACATTTTTTCTATGGTAATAGATTTCGAGGGACCTAAAAAGGAGAAACCAGTTAAACTTAGCTCGTCCTTTACTTGTTACAGAAAGCCTAAACCTTCTAATAAGTCCAACCTTCTCGGTAAGAGCAGCGGAAGCTTATCTTCCAGCGTTAGTTCTATAAATTCTAATAGAGATTCAAATTCTATAGCTGGAACCTCCAGACAGTCTGAAGAATTAGAACTTAGGCCAAATAAGGGTGTTAGTATCGAAGTACTCAGTGCTTCACTTATTAAAAATCTCTCGACCTCTTCTAAGTCTTCTAGTAGTAGCGAAAATGTACCGGAAAAGGTCCATGACGACGGTGGTACCGATTCTGCGAAAGAATCTGTCGATGAGGATCACATCGAGTGTGATAGCATGCCAGAAAAAATCGCTGATGAAGTTGTTATTCATCATACTGATCTTGAGGAAAAAGAAAATTCTCGGGAAAATCAAAAACCTGACAATACCCGGCAGCAAACTTTTGGGAATAAAATTGAGAAACAGGTAAGGTTTATTAATTTTTTTTTTTAATGTCTACAGGCAGATATAATCTCCGCCGAAATCAGAACATGTACTTAATAGGGGATATATCTAAATTCGGCTGGAGGTTTAAGGGTTCGTTATTATCGTATACGTATTTTCGACCGAAAGGAACAGACAAAAATAAATAAATATATGTTCCATATGTGTTACAACTTTCTTTAAAACCAAAATCGAAGACCAAAAGCAGAACGTATGTACCTACAACTTACATTGGGTACTTACATACTATTACTTAAAAACTATAGCTAAAAACATACCTACCTGCCATGGCGGGTTGTTACGCAAAAAATACATAAAATGAGTAAAATAAAACAAATTAACTAATTTACCTAACCTGTGCTTTCGCGAGTTGCTTCCCAAAAAAATATACATAAAATGAGACAAACTAATTCACCTAATGGAATCAGCTCACAAAGCACTGTTGTAATATTAATTTCAATTTTGTTTGAATTTTCAGGTAGATTCCAAAATCCTTTCATAAATTTTACCCTCGGCCGAAATTGTGTATGTCATTAGAAGATGGTACCTTTGCTATGGGCAGGTAGGCGAGGGGATTATCGCCCGAAATTACTTCAATTATTAATCATAAGTATTTGAAATGTTTGTTATCTTATCTTTATACTTACTTTGGGTACTTGCATTTTTATTTATCTGATGTAGGAAAATTTATAAGGCATTGTCGGGAAAAAAATCGATAGGTCGGTATATAAATAACGTTTAATATCAATTTTATTTGATTAAAATGGAACGCAAATTATAGTTATAAAGATAATAATAATCAAATAAAAATAGAACAAAAATATCGAAGGTATAAAAATTATTCCCTTACCTTACCTACTTAGGTATATTAATATTATTATTAATTTTTGAGCACATTTTAACAATATTTCGATTATTCTACATGAAGGGTGTGATTTACAATACCCTCCCAATGATAAATAAATAATCTTTATACAGGGTGATTCTTAAACTATACGCATAAATTTGAGAAATAATAGCCGAGGGCAAATAATGATGAATACTTAGTGAAAAAAAAGTTTAATAAAATATTTTTATTTTATAAGAAAACAATTTATTTCGATAAAAAATAGGTAATCTAAATTTTCTAAAATTGAAAATAAATTAAATTTATCACTGTTATTTTCGTGGTTTTCAATACACCGTTGAGCTCGCCGAATTCACGGCCCAAACCAGGTTGTAGGGGGATTGCCTCAGCGGCATGAAACTGAAGCTAGCGCTTAAAATTAACAGCTAATATGGCCGGCCGCCAGGGACGAACTACGTTAAGGGTCCCGTCAGGGTCGCACCAATTTTTTTTTACTATTTAGAAGTCGTGAGATAAAAGAATCAGAAAATTGAAAAATTATGAAAACCTTCGAATGTGTGTAAACCTTGAATAAACTAAGTAGGTAAAGTGCCTGCGACAATGAATGAAAAAACAAAGAAATAAAAAAAGTTGATGAAGTTCGTCAATAATTTATTAATTTCTCGGAAATTTGCAATATAAAAAATAACATAAGTTTAGACTAAAAAATTTCTAGAAGCTAGAGCTGGTCGAGGACACTCTGAGGGACTTCTTTAATTGCTAGGACCAAGAGTTGAGAGAGATCGTTGATAATTTTTTGATTTCTCGGAATTTAAACTTGAAAAAATTACATTATTTTTTACTACAAAATTTCTAAAGCTTCATTTTTAAAAGGAGTATTCTACAGAGGCTAAGAAATTTTTTCACCATGTCGCTGACCAAGTTCGCGAATTATTTGCGAAGTTACAGAATTTTTAAAACTTTAAATTTTCTTATTTTCTTTCCGCAGAATTTTTAGAGCTTCATTTTTAAAAGGAGTATTCTACAGAGGCTAAGGAATTTTTTCACCATGTCGCTGACCAAGTTCGCGAATTATTTGCGAAGTTACAGAATTTTTAAAACTTTAAATTTTGTTATTTTCTTTCCGCAAAATTTTTAGAGCTTCATTTTTAAAAGGAGTATTCTACAGAGGCTAAGGAATTTTTTCACCATGTCGCTGACCAAGTTCGCGAATTATTTGCGAAGTTAGAAAATTTTCGAAAATTTAAATTTTCGTATTTTCTTTCCGCAAAATTCCTTAGCCTCTGTAGAATACTCCTTTTAAAAATGAAGCTCTAAAAATTTTGCGGAAAGAAAATAACAAAATTTAAAGTTTTAAAAATTCTGTAACTTCGCAAATAATTCGCGAACTTGATCAGCGACATGGTGAAAAAATTCCTTAGCCTCTGTAGAATACTCCTTTTAAAAATGAAGCTCTAAAAATTCTGCGGAAAGAAAATAAGAAAATTTAAAGTTTTAAAAATTCTGTAACTTCGCAAATAATTCGCGAACTTGGTCAGCGACATGGTGAAAAAATTCCTTAGCCTCTGTAGAATACTCCTTTTAAAAATGAAGCTCTAAAAATTCTGCGGAAAGAAAATACGAAAATTTAAAGTTTTAAAAATTCTGTAACTTCGCAAATAATTCGCGAACTTGGTCAGCGACATGGTGAAAAAATTCCTTAGCCTCTGTAGAATACTCCTTTTAAAAATGAAGCTCTAAAAATTTTGCGGAAAGAAAATAACAAAATTTAAAGTTTTAAAAATTCTGTAACTTCGCAAATAATTCGCGAACTTGGTCAGCGACATGGTGAAAAAATTCCTTAGCCTCTGTAGAATACTCCTTTTAAAAATGAAGCTCTAAAAATTCTGCTGAAAGAAAATTTAAAGTTTTAAAAATTCTGTAACTTCGCAAATAATTCGCGAACTTGGTCAGCGACATGGTGAAAAAATTCCTTAGCCTCTGTAGAATACTCCTTTTAAAAATGAAGCTCTAAAAATTTTGCGGAAAGAAAATAACAAAATTTAAAGTTTTAAAAATTCTGTAACTTCGCAAATAATTCGCGAACTTGGTCAGCGACATGGTGAAAAAATTCCTTAGCCTCTGTAGAATACTCCTTTTAAAAATGAAGCTCTAAAAATTTTGCGGAAAGAAAATAACAAAATTTAAAGTTTTAAAAATTCTGTAACTTCGCAAATAATTCGCGAACTTGGTCAGCGACATGGTGAAAAAATTCCTTAGCCTCTGTAGAATACTCCTTTTAAAAATGAAGCTCTAAAAATTTTGCGGAAAGAAAATAACAAAATTTAAAGTTTTAAAAATTCTGTAACTTCGCAAATAATTCGCGAACTTGGTCAGCGACATGGTGAAAAAATTCCTTAGCCTCTGTAGAATACTCCTTTTAAAAATGAAGCTCTAAAAATTCTGCTGAAAGAAAATTTAAAGTTTTAAAAATTCTGTAACTTCGCAAATAATTCGCGAACTTGGTCAGCGACATGGTGAAAAAATTCCTTAGCCTCTGTAGAATACTCCTTTTAAAAATGAAGCTCTAAAAATTTTGCGGAAAGAAAATAACAAAATTTAAAGTTTTAAAAATTCTGTAACTTCGCAAATAATTCGCGAACTTGGTCAGCGACATGGTGAAAAAATTCCTTAGCCTCTGTAGAATACTCCTTTTAAAAATGAAGCTCTAAAAATTTTGCGGAAAGAAAATAACAAAATTTAAAGTTTTAAAAATTCTGTAACTTCGCAAATAATTCGCGAACTTGGTCAGCGACATGGTGAAAAAATTCCTTAGCCTCTGTAGAATACTCCTTTTAAAAATGAAGCTCTAAAAATTTTGCGGAAAGAAAATAACAAAATTTAAAGTTTTAAAAATTCTGTAACTTCGCAAATAATTCGCGAACTTGGTCAGCGACATGGTGAAAAAATTCCTTAGCCTCTGTAGAATACTCCTTTTAAAAATGAAGCTCTAAAAATTTTGCGGAAAGAAAATAACAAAATTTAAAGTTTTAAAAATTCTGTAACTTCGCAAATAATTCGCGAACTTGGTCAGCGACATGGTGAAAAAATTCCTTAGCCTCTGTAGAATACTCCTTTTAAAAATGAAGCTCTAAAAATTCTGCGGAAAGAAAATACGAAAATTTAAAGTTTTAAAAATTCTGTAACTTCGCAAATAATTCGCGAACTTGGTCAGCGACATGGTGAAAAAATTCCTTAGCCTCTGTAGAATACTCCTTTTAAAAATGAAGCTCTAAAAATTTTGCGGAAAGAAAATAACAAAATTTAAAGTTTTAAAAATTCTGTAACTTCGCAAATAATTCGCGAACTTGGTCAGCGACATGGTGAAAAAATTCCTTAGCCTCTGTAGAATACTCCTTTTAAAAATGAAGCTCTAAAAATTCTGCTGAAAGAAAATTTAAAGTTTTAAAAATTCTGTAACTTCGCAAATAATTCGCGAACTTGGTCAGCGACATGGTGAAAAAATTCCTTAGCCTCTGTAGAATACTCCTTTTAAAAATGAAGCTCTAAAAATTCTGCGGAAAGAAAATACGAAAATTTAAAGTTTTAAAAATTCTGTAACTTCGCAAATAATTCGCGAACTTGGTCAGCGACATGGTGAAAAAATTCCTTAGCCTCTGTAGAATACTCCTTTTAAAAATGAAGCTCTAAAAATTTTGCGGAAAGAAAATAACAAAATTTAAAGTTTTAAAAATTCTGTAACTTCGCAAATAATTCGCGAACTTGGTCAGCGACATGGTGAAAAAATTCCTTAGCCTCTGTAGAATACTCCTTTTAAAAATGAAGCTCTAAAAATTTTGCGGAAAGAAAATAACAAAATTTAAAGTTTTAAAAATTCTGTAACTTCGCAAATAATTCGCGAACTTGGTCAGCGACATGGTGAAAAAATTCCTTAGCCTCTGTAGAATACTCCTTTTAAAAATGAAGCTCTAAAAATTTTGCGGAAAGAAAATAACAAAATTTAAAGTTTTAAAAATTCTGTAACTTCGCAAATAATTCGCGAACTTGGTCAGCGACATGGTGAAAAAATTCCTTAGCCTCTGTAGAATACTCCTTTTAAAAATGAAGCTCTAAAAATTTTGCGGAAAGAAAATAA